AGTTTCTTTAGCGACAGGAGCGTCTTCGCAGGTTGTAGGGTCACCTGCTCCGGAACAGCTCCTGTCCCGCACATTTTTTGCTATAAATGCAAAAATATAAGCTATTAAAACATTATTTTGAATGTTTGTAGGATTTTTAAAATAATTTATTGAAAACTTTTAATAATATTTCAATTAATGCAAAAGAATTACCAAGTTGATTGACTATTTTTAATTCCAGCGATAGTGGCGGCGGTGGTGTCGGCGGTGGTTTTGGTACAACGTCCGGTTGGTTGTCGGCTTTGCGTTGTCGACGTTTTTGACGCGGTAACAAGGGACTTGTACATACATAGACTTTGTATCGTTTATTCAATCGAATAGCTTCATTATTTTGTATTATCTGCATTTCTTGTTGCTTCTGTTCTTCCGGCTGTTGCTGTTGCTGGAACTTCATTCGAGCCTCATATATTTCACGCAAGCTGTTATGTTCGTCAGGCAGTTTTGTCAGACTATCTTTAACTGTAAAAATATATACCGTTTATACTGAAAGAACCAGTCATTTATAATTATATTTAATTGTTTCATTAGTGATTTAATGAATTTTATATGTATTATTAAAACATAATACACAAATAGTCTTTGAAACTTAGAGTAAGGTTATTTAAAATTTTATATAATGTTTCTAGTATTAAAAATTAATCATTAAAAAAGATATATTAGATTAATATTAGATTAAATTATATTATATTAATTAGATTAATATTATATTAAATATTATATTAGATTAATCGATATAAAGATTAATCGAAATATATATTTATTTATTTAACAATCTTCAATTAAATTTTTTAAAGCATTTTACTTGTACCAATTTTTTATGAAATATTTATTCTGTATTCAATGTTTTTAAATAGTCATGATTCAGTTATAATAAGTCATATAAAATAACTAACCGATCGAAACTGCTTATTGAATTTTTTAAAATTACATTTCAATTTAGCCAATATTCAACTGTATATTATTATATAAAACACAAAATTAAAAAAATTAAAAATATTTATAATTATATACAATGTTAAATTGAATTGATTTTTTTTATTTTATTGACATATGATATTTATTTAATGTAAGAACGTATTTATACATATTTACAGAATTTACAATGTTTACAGAAATTAACTTATCTAGATACATAATTGTAACTAATACGTATAGTATTATATTTATAATTTTTGAAAACTCAGTGGTTTCATGCTGATGCGTGAATGTTTTCGGTAGATAGTTAAAAAAAATGATACAATGAAAATTCAGTATTATACTGTTATTTCTAAAGTAAATTAAATATTGTATATTATTATTAATTAAAACATTTTTAACAAATTTAATTTAATAATAATTTTAATAATATATTATTAAAAGCATTAGTTAATAATAGATGTTTTAAGTTGATGAATGATTTATGAATAAGTTGAGTAAAGTAATATTTATTTATTCGATTAAAATATAAAACTCAAGAATTACCGTTTTCTCCCTTAAAGCTTCTTTTACTGTGTAAAAGTATTTGAGAGGAGCGTTCGAGTGAGTCAATGTACACTTCATTAACAATGTTCTTGTCATATGCGATATCCCCATTTATTTTCAATTTCATCGGCTTTCTATCTAGGGTATCAGGTTCGTATTCTGACTCATCTTGCTTGATGTAATTCTTTGGCGAATCTAGTACCTTTATTGTTAGATGCCCGGGATTCTGTGACTCATATTGGATTTCCGGACCCGAATCATCATCACTGTCCGTTGGACTCGCATACCCGTCGTTTACATACACTTCACTTACTAATGCGTAGTTTTCTGGACGTAGTGGTACAACTTCCGGAAGATTATACTAGAGTTTTTAAGGTAATTGCCATTTAAATTACAACGAAAATAAGTTGATTTCGGAAATAAAAAAATTATAAAGCAACTATTCCTAATTAAAGACACAAAGACAAGACAATTGTATTTAGAAATTTTATAATATATACTTGATAATAATATTAATTTCAAAATAAGCATTCTCACGTCGTTTTAAAAATGTGATAAAAAAGAATGTCTTTTGTTTCTATTTTAATTATGTATTTTAACCAAATACGAAATGAATTTTGTAGAATGAAATTAGAAAATATTAATATTTACTCAATAGTAAAATAATTTTTGTAAATATATCATACAAGTCTGCTGTTTAAACTTTCAAAGTAAGAAAATACTTATACTATATAATATAAAATACTTATACTATATATTATAAAAAAGAATTATACTAGTCTTTATTATAACTTTTTTACAATCCTACTGTAAAATCCTGTATGGTAATTATATAAAAAACGAAATATAAATTTCCAAACGGTCATCATTGAATAAAAAACTTACATTCTTAATTATAGTTTTGTTCTTAATTGGTTCATTGATTTGTAAATCAATGATAGAGTTTCTCATTCTCAATTTTTCGTCCAGAGGTAAAGTCGTCGTTAACGGAAGACTGGATTTATTTATGGAGACGGGCGAATTCGATAGGCTTCTACTGAACTTTGTCTTTTCGAGACTATCGGTTTCGTAATCCGAGATCCGAGTTATACCATCCTTTTCTTTTTCTCTTTTAGTTTCCTTTTCTTTAACCTTTTCTTTTTCCTTTGCAATGATTAATTCTTGAATTACAGAATCCATAATACGCTTTGCCTCGCTACTGTTTCTTCCAGTTAATTCGTCGTTTATTATGTTAAGTAAAACTCGTGTCTTTCTTATGCTGTTCGTCTTATTATGATTAAAGTTATCATTTTTTGTTTTACGTAGGTCCTGAATATTACAAAATAAATAATAAATTATAGATATAATTTTACTGAAGAAGATTGTTATAGTTATCAATTATTTAATTAATATTTCTGTCCAGAATAATAATTGTACGAAATTTATAATTTATAACTTATTTAAATGAAGTTATAACCATTATAAGGAAATAATAAAAACGAAGATTGAATTAAATTAAACAGAAATTTTTTAACATTTGAACTTATTACATAATAATTTTATGCATTTAATTATATTGTCTTGTAATTGATATTGAATAAACAAAATTTTGCCAAAGAAATCTTAAAATTTCCATTATATTATCTTCATGTATATTTTTCATTTATAAAAAAATTTATTTATGATATAAATATTTAGGATAAAAATTAAAAGAATATACGATATTGAATCTGATATTGTTTATGTACTATTTTTATGAAATTAAAGTTTATAAAAATATAACCAAACTTTAATATAAGCATTAAGAAAAAATTATTTTATTTTTTAATGTAAAAATAAGTTCAAACTGAAACTTTTTAACTTTTAATTAAATGAAGTGATAGTAAATAAGAAATTACATAAATTATTATTTGTATCTTTAAAAAAACACACACACACACAACTTTTTTGTTGGTAATAAATAATAATTCTTAAATAATATATAATAAAATAATTTAAAATAATAATATGTAAGTATATATATAATATAATATAATATATATATTATATATATATATATATATATATATATATATATATTATTTAAAAAATCCTAAACATTTAAATAGTATATATATGCATATATATATATGTATATATATTTATATATATATATGCATATATATATATATATATATATATATATATATATATATATATATATATATATATATATATATATATATATATATATATA